GAAAAATGAAAAGAGAATATTTTATATCTGCAGCATAAAATCACACACATGTAATGCCACGTTTTCTTGTAGATGAATGAAACTTCATTCACAAAAACAAAAAGAGACATTCACAAATCTGTAAAAATCTATGCATTGATGTAGAAATTTTCTTTTCATTTTTATACGAGGGGTTTAGTCATAAAGTTTATTCATCTCCAACAAGCTAAAACTTTGTTGAATTCACACAATTTTCAATTAGAGTGACACCATGAGTCACTCGAGTTTTTCCCTTCAGACATTTTATTATTCTTATTATAATGATTGTGCATGAAAATTTAGGTGACAAAATCTCAAAGAGTCAACTTGTACAGTGCATCATTCTTTATGTTTTCTTTTCTTTTTTTCAGTAAAATTGTCATCACTTCAAATGTTGAGATAGAAACAGCAAATATTATGTATACGAACACAAAAGTGCTCTCTAGCGACTGAACAGATGTTATTTAAAAACGCCATTACTCATCTATCCTTTACATAAGCCGTAACCAGCCACAGATGTAAGTCAAAAAGACATAACTGCTGTAGACAAAACTTAATAGATTTTTTTCTACCGCTTTGTTGTTTTTTATTGCCATAAAAATGTCTTATATATTTTCTTTACTATTTTTCCATGCCCTTTTGCCGCTATTTTCTGTGATATTAATCCCCATTAAAGATATAATAACAATAATCATAATTCGCGTATGTTGCGTGCTATGTCAATATTGTTCATAATTAAATGAGCAAGAAGAAGTTCAAGTGGAAATGCTTGCGTATGATGACTCAAGCGCATTAAAACATGTGGCATAATCTATGCAGACCATGATGCATCCTGATAACACTTTAAAAGTTCGATGAGCTTTGCAAATTGTCAAAAACCATAGTCAGACAAAATTGTCTCCAATTTGACAAGAACATTAAAATAGTAAGGAAGGGGTAAAGGCAAAGAACATTATTGTTCATAAAAGCGCACATAATAATTTAAATTAATTTCATTAAAATATTTTAACATCTGTGTGTGAAGCTGTGAAACAATTAAAGTCATATTTTATAACACTTTTAGACTTGAACATTTTGCTCTCACTCACAAATTTTATGCCTTTAGCGACAATAATAAAAAAAAAATTGCGATGCTTCCTACACTCAGTTTGCTAAGGCAACCATGAAATGACTCAAAGCATGTTGGAAATAATTTTATGATATAATTTTTTGTGCCCTCCATCATAATGCAATAGAAATCATTAAAGGTAGCATAAACTTTGTAAATTTATTATATGCCATTTTCTGCTTGAAATGATGCATGCAATTGATGCTATTTTCCCGGTACTATTGTACTGAATAATGCATAATACACATGAAAAGAAGGTAGCAAAAAAATACTAATAAAGATGACGATATAGCCGAGGTAGATAGACTCTTTATGAAGCAAGTCACGAGTTAAATTGTATTAGTTAACTTTTACTGCTTACTATAAATTCTCATTCAATTTTCCATTTTCACCAATGAGAATCGGAAGGAATGCAATTGAACGGAAAAACTAATAAAGCTATTGATATTTGAAACGATACAACCGAATAGACATTAGCCGTTAAATAGAGAGAAGAATAAAAAAGATCAAAAAGTGTTTTAAAAATCAGGCAGACAGAAATACAGAAGAAGAAGTAGAATATTGCGTAATAAGCAAATGCTAATTGATTTTTTTTTTTCCGAGATACAATTTTCAATTTCCAGTTTTAAAAATATTCAAGCTTAATGGGAAATTCATGTTGTTGCTACAGCGATGATAAAAAAAATAATTGAAAATTGTGATACATGAAGGACCTTTACAAAAAGTAACAGAGCATACATAATACAAGGCTTTGTTGAAATGTCTGAAAAGGACTATTGTGACGCATATCTTTGTCGATTTTTCAATTTCGTTGAATTGGATTATAAAAGCTACTAAAAGAAGAAAATACTGAGAATTAAACTACAATTTGTATCGATTTACACCCCCTGCGAATTCTAACTAGCATTATAAGTATCTTCTTTAAAATTTACTCATCCAGATAATGCATTTGCATAAAATAATGAAGCTGAGCATAACTTCACCATTATACCAATTAAATTTCTACATAATTTTAAATCAGAATATCTTAATCTTAGTGGATATCCAGCCAGACAAAAAGAATAATAAATCGCAATTGCTCCAAAGTGAAAATCCATGAAAAAGTTAAAGACACTAGGCTAGAAAAGTCTCAATTTCCTTTTTTTTTTCTTGTTCTTATTCCTTTAATTTGGTAAAAGAAAAAAAAAGTAAAGGAAGTTTTTTAAGAAAGTTTTTTTGATAACAGCAAAACCGGCACTTGCCTTATTATACACAGTTGGAAGATAAAAGTCCTTTATACTTCCGTAGAAAATGAAAAAACTTTTTTCACTGTTAAATTGAATTAATAGAATAATAAAGAAGTAAATGCTATGAGTGAAGACGGTGATGATGAAAAATTTTGCTTTTCAGGTCATGAGACTTAGTCATTCTTATTTAAATATCGTATGTAAGCACAACAAAATCATCTTCTTATTTGATGCAAAGCCAGCATGACTTCTATTCTCTGAAGGAACAAAATCATCAACGACACACATTTTATGTGGACACTATAGCAAAATATATAAAATTCATGAGAAGAACAAACCAAATGAGGACGAATTATTGAAGGTCAGGGTGAGCAAATTTTGCCTTTTTAACCACAGCACATGGATGGTGTGAAAAAGGGTGTTATTGTCTACATGCCTTTGCGTGTTTTCAATAGATTTTCATTTTTTTTCTCAGACATTTCGAAAAAAGTTCTTTATTCACAATCACTTCGTTTTGTGTATCAACTACTGCATTAATGAATGACTTGATGATCCTTTACGGTCATTAAAAGACAGTATCATTTAAAATTTAATATTCCCAATCATCTTTAATTTGTATAAAAATGCGCTTTAGCCATTTTCCCAAAACTTTTTCAATGTCCGAAATAATAGATTCTTTCACACTCTGTGTCCCTTACATTAAGATTGTGATCAATACTCGATAATTGAAAATTGGTGTAAACTTTTCAATTTTTCTTTATACTAGTTTGTTCTCATATGTTGAAGTATATAATGTGTGACATAAAATCTGTTCATGACAGAAAATCAGTAGAGACCAACACGCAATTTCTATTAGATTTCTTCTTTTTAATACTGCCGTACGAGCATGCATGCTACATGAACAGTTTGATATACTTGGTTTATTTGAAAATGCTAATAAATTAAGTACTTATAAGTTTTCTTCATTCCCTTTCGTGCTTCTTTTGACTAGAAACAGATTTTTTAAAATTTTCTTTCACGTAATTATGAATGTATACACATTTTATATCCAATATCGAAAGCAATCAATTAATTTGCAAGAGGAATATTCAAAGGAAATAACAATATTATTTTTCATGAATTTTCTCTCTAAATTAAATTACAATTTGCGTCATTTGCGTAGCTTTTTGTTAACATTTTCAATAACAATATATAACACTTATAGATACTTTACAGTACTGTAATAATAATGTAGCAATTTAGGGCTCTTAATAATTCCCAGAAGATTTTACTTTAGCCAAACCATTTGTTATTTTAAGTTATCAGCTGAGAATATATAAGTTTTATTATATCAGACATTACATTGAGATACAATCTAAATAGCCATGAACATTTCTGTATCAAGGGAAATTTTAGAAATGAAAGAAAATGTTAAAGCAATTAGAAATGTATACAGTGATTCTACTTTGTAATCATTTTATATCTTTCTTTAAAGGGTTGATTGAGTCATTGAATTTATCTAGATTTTCTTTTAAAGATGATTGATATCAAAAATTGAAGTTGACTTTGCTACTTATTGAACCATTTACCACACAAATCTGAAGTTGTTTGGCTGATTTCAATTTTATAAATCCTCACTACTAGACATTCAAAAACTTAGGGGGCGTTCACTTATTACGTTCGCATTTTAGGGGGGAGGGGGGGTTTGAAAAATTATAATAAAATGTAACATATGGGGGGGGGTCAAGAAGTATGTAATGTTCTAACTGTCGTCTGTCTTTTAAAAAAAATTCATGAAAAAAATTTGTTTACAAATTCACACCAAAAATTTGTAAACCATTTTCAATTTTCCACCTTTTTTTTAATGATTTATGAAAAATTATCAAAATAAAATAAATAATGAACGATCAGGGGGGGGGGGGGGGGGGGTTGTGAGTTGTAACATATTGTAACAAGGGGGGAGGGGGTGAAAAAAGTCGTTTTTTTGCGTAACGTAATAATTGAACGGCCCCTTATATCGTTCATACAAGGATCTTAATCCTTTCTTTAATAACTGTTATAAGTTTCGACCTCCTCTAGAGGAAGATTGAGAGCTACATATGATTTAAAAAAGCTACAAGTAACTCTTTAATGATTATACTAGTGTCTAAATATGAAAACATCGAAGGACTATATCACTGCTATATCAATCCATTTCATATAATTCAATATTCCCCTACGCACTTTCTATAAATTGTTTCCTGTTTTTCTTTCTTTCATTCCCAATCGTCTATGGAATTTTAAATTTATTAAGAACCCTTGATTGCGATGAAAATTTATTGTGAAAATTATTAACACCAAAGAGGTGCGAGGTGGCGTTAGGAAGAAATCACAAAAGTTGAAAATCGAAGAACATGAGAAGGAAATAAATTAACTTAACATTGAAAAAGAAAATCATCGATAAAGTCTCACGCCAATAAAAGTTCTTAACACGCAACAACATATATAAATAATAAAAAGAAGGACGTGAATTCAATGTGAAGGAAGGAAAAGGAAAAACTTTTTAAAGGATCTTTATAGATTGGGAATTGGAGCGGTGTACTTTAGACTCATAACGGAATATTTTTTTTTATTATTCGAGGCTGCCTTCATACACAGCTTTCATAAAAAAATACAGAAATTTGACTTACCTCATTTCAAATTCACGAATTTCCTCAGAAGTCAATGTTGGATTATTTGTCACATCAAGTAATTGCCGAAGATTTTCATCACGTTGCTTTTTCTTTCTTATCTCTTTTCCTTGCTCCACACTTATAAAGTCACATTCATTTTTCAATAATACTGTTTCCACTGAGTAATCCAAGCTTAATGAAGCCTACATTTTAAGGAATCAGTACAATTTCATTTCAGTTCGTTCGTTCGTTTTTTGGTGTTTTTTAAAGTTGATTTAGAGTTATGGAAATTTGTTGAAATGGAAGAAGAAGATAAGAAAATAAGAGAACAGAAGAAAAAAGATTAATCAGGTAGACAATGCATTACAAATCACTGTGCAAATAAACAAACAAAAAAAAAATCTCTAAAAATAAGAAAAAGTTTATTTTTGTTTAATAATAGCATGATGAAATAAAAGTGCAATATAAATCATAATATTTACATTTAATAGGCGTTAAATGGAATTTGCACAAAAAAAATCTCGACTTTTCCATAAACAAATGGAAAATGGAGAAGCGCAAAAAGCTTGCTTATGTGAAAATTTTCCAAGATCGTTCTCAACAGTTTAGATCGAGAATGTTTATTATCACTCGTATTATTAATTATTATGCCACTGAACTTCTTACTACTCGTACTATTTATGAGATATATTATGTAGATGAAGGTTAAAATACGAAAATAATTTTATTTTACACGTTTTTTGCCGATGGTGTTCGCTGGTCATATAATAAAACTTTGAAATATTTAATTCAGGGGTATTGTGTTTGATATGGAACAGCTATATGGGTATCATGTCATTATAAATTCTTAAATTTTTATTAAAAAATTCTAGGTAACTTAAAGTAGTTTTAGACTTTAAGTACAGTCGCAGTAAAGTAGCCAGAAATATGAATAATTTGGGATATCCCAAAAAATCAGAAAGCTATTATCTTTATGGGAAAATTTATGAAGGTTTTATGAGAATATATTTCAGTGGTTAGACGCTGATGCTTTTCAGACTTTCTCAGTATTCCTTTAAAAGCTAAAATAGCAAATCAACCAGTTTTTTGCCGAAAATTTGCTAAGAAAATCTTTAAAACTGATATGTATCATTCTGAGATTTTAATGTCAGAAAAAATGTTTTCTTTAAAATTTACTAGCTTCATATTTTGCAGAGCTCGAAGTCGACTAGAGTTGACTCTGATATTTTGTCTAGCTTAGCTAAAGGCATATTGAGACTTTGATGAAATTCTTGGATTCTTTGTTCTTGAGGATGTTTTCCAATAATCGTACCCAGTTTCAAAATTAAGAAAAGAAATTCATTTTTTAAACACAAAATATTCCAAAAAATCAGACCAGACACAACTTTATATTTAATCTTGATCGATTTTTAATTCCTGCTAATTACGATTGTGTATATTTTGATATTTTTGTACAGCGCAAAAATTCAAGATCAATTCCGTTTTAAAAACAAACTTGAATGTTTTAATCCGAATATCATATATCTGGTATTAATCCCTGAATTCTCAAGATATAAACAATGTCTGCAAAAATACTGTTTTCTGTGCAAATAAAATACAAGTTCCAGTTGAAAATTTGTATAATTAACAGACATTTTTTTGCCTTTTTATTCTACCGTTGCTTTTAAGGATTTTATTATTCTACAGAAGTTGTTAACGTGGCATAAAATTGTTATGTACGTTAGCTTTCATTTCAACACAGGCACAGCAGCAGTTGAATAAAAAGAAATATTTTTTGCGACTCTCGTCACTTATGAGAAGCAAGGACAGACGGTTTGTTAGTATGGTTAGCCGGAAACAGAAGAAATGACACCAATTTATATTACCTTACATTTCGCCGCTTTTACAATGTCTTTTACCAAGACACTCTTAACAACTTTTCTATAAAGTTTATTCATTTTGTTCTCCATTCACTTATTTCCTCTAATCTTACGTTTTACGATTTTCGTCACTTAGGAAACTTTTTTTGTCTTCTTAATTCTATTTTGATTGTAAATCATCAAAAATTAACTGCTCACTTCTCAATGAGATATAAATTGGATATTTTTTTTCCTTCTCTGTCGTGCCTGCACTAGATAAAACTTTTTAACTACTCAGATTATTCGTGTACAAACTTATGTACCGAAAACAAAAAAGTTATGAATGCACGACTGAACTTTATAGATTATTTCAGGGTTCTTTCCTCCTTTTCTACGAACTTGTTTTAATTAATGTAATATTTACAGTTCCCGACTCTGAGTTTATATTCCCGTAACTTTTCTTTCACCTTAGAATGGAATCTGCATTAAATTGTTCGACAACAATAAACTTTTTACATTAATAGCTTCATGCATACTTTAAGTAAACACTTTCTAAATTTAACTGAACTGTACGAGAAGTAATGATTATTTTCCTTTCAAACTTTTTTTGTTTTTATTAGCAGTTGTAGATACACAGAGAAAGAGAAATAGAGAGAAAATTGATGGAAAATTGCTGATTCTCCGATTCAAAGGATAATGTTCTTTTTCTTTCTGTCTTGTCTTGACTTGATTTGTTTTGCTTTAATAAAGATTATTTTTTTTTTCGTTTCTACGAAATTCATAATATTTTGAAATTGACAGGAAATGTATCACATGTAGAAATTAATTAAATTAACACATAAATGCACATGAATTAAACAATAATAATAATAATTAGTCAATTATTCTTTTCTGTCACGTGTTTAAAAACAATAAAGTAGATGTGATTTTATCGTATCAATTAAACATACTTGCTGAACAACTATAGTCGCACGAGGTGTTGTACAAACTGCCGTACTCATCGGATTGGAAGTTAAATTTATACTGCCGTTTATATTGCTATTAACATTATTATTGCTCATCGTATTCTTACTACAAAATGATGACGTCGCGTTTAGTTGGCATTCGTCCAGAGCATCACTCTTTTTCACATTCTCATTTTCTCGCGAGTAAGATGATGCCTTTACTGATGATTCTGCGAAAAAATCGATTTTTAAATCGGGTATGGGAGATGCGAGATTTGAATTTGCCGGTTGCTCGTGAATGAGTACAGACGTCTCATTTAGTTTTCTATTAATGTGCTCGATTTTCGAGAACGACTTTACTCCGGCTGTGTCTGTCGGCGATTGAGCACGTTTCTTATTTTGTCGCTCCTTCTCATGTTGTGAGATCAGGGCATATTGTTGGAAGATTCCTTCAATTGGTGCAATTTTTTGATCAAGCATTTCATAAGACGGACTATCCTCAGTATCATCAAAATCATATGTGAAGACATCTCTGGTATTGTAATCTTCATCATCGCGATATTCTTCATCGAATGTAAAGCATTCACGCTGGATGCGCTCATAATCAATTGCTTCGCGATCAAAAGGAAATGTTGTCATTTCAGACATTTCTTCACCTTTTACTGTTCCGCCAGATGAATTCTCATCATCAAATTTACTCGACGATATGTTTTTTCGATAAACCGGTGCTGAATTTATTTTCCTAGCGCTATCACATGTACCTTTCTCCTTCTCTTTGTTTGATGAATCACGACTAAAAATGTTACTCAAACGTTCACATTTAAATGATCTTCGTTCTTTTCTGCTACTACTATTATCTCCTGCTTTATTTGTATGCTTCCCATTACTACTACTCGTATGCACAGATGCCTTATAGTTGTCAGTTCTAAAATTCTCTTTATTATTCATATCCATATTTGTTCTAGTTTTATACGATTTATAACTAGCAGAAGTTTCCCTTGATGGTGCGACAATATCGAATGAAAATAATGTTGGTGACTTATCAGCACTGCGTGCTGACTTTGGTGATGCTGGGCGATCAAATGAAAAAGATGATTCCGCAGTTCCCGCGAGCGGTGGTGCCGATGAAATATGATAATATTTTCTAGCGTTGGCATTTTGTTGCTGCGAGACGAACGGAGAAGGAAAGAAAATAAGAAAATTGAATTTATGCTGGAATGAATAATTTATCATTATTTTTTATCGCTTTTACAAATTCACTTGATTTTACTTCTAATAATTCAAATCAATAAATCATATCAGACGCTTTAATATTACTGCTCTATATGTATATATAGTAAGTAAAAAATTATTGCCTTATGAATAAAATATGATAATTAATTCATTACCTCAATTCCATCAATCTCGTTTTCGCACAGTAGCGGTGTTGCTGATTCGTCTAAATAATCGTCATTAACATTAATTATTCTGCTGCTACCTACACATTTATCATCAATTGGATTTACTGAAAGAGTTATGGAATCGTCTTGACTTTCACTTAGTAGCGGCTCTTGTTGTTCTGTTATGTCGCCGTCACCTGTTAAAATATCAAGAATTAATGACTAATCCTAAGCATCAACTTGAGGAATCAAATTTCCTATCAAGATGTCTTCCTCATAATCCTATTAACTCAATTAAACTAAAATAATGTTCATGTCTTACCCAAATCCAATGAATCACATGTTTCCGTATCAGTTGTCGTCGTGATATTCGTAAAATGTGTACATGCCGATTCAGTTGATGTATTAATTGTCGAATTACATGAGGAATTCATCACAATAACTTTTGGAACGGTTGAGGTTTTAGTGGTAGCACTTTGTGTTGGAGCTTTTCCACTTTTGGCTGCTTTGAAGTATAATCTTCTTAAAGCTGTAGCTGGTAGTGCATTGGATGAGGCAGCAATTATGGAATCAGTATCGGAACTGCTTGAGGTATAAGGACTAGTCGGTCGTGCCATGTGAACAGCTGCCATTCCAACTGATGATTTTGCTATCGTTGAAATAATTTTGGGGGGTTGAGTTTGTGTTGCTGTTACGGTAATTGCTGGGAATTAGGAAAAATATTGACTATGGTAAAGCTTCGAGTTTCATATTACAGCTGTTTCTACCCTCCCGTCCCATCTACAAATGATATCATCGTCATCACATTTCCGTTAGTTTTTTCCGAGCTTTTGCTTCATTAAACTTAAAGACAATTTATTACAACTACGACGTTCATTGTCTACCATAGTGTAAAACTACAGACTGCGGAATTTTGTGTTCATCTGCTTACTGAATGAATGTTTTGAATTTTTGGTAATTAAAATTATTTTAATTCAGAAAATGTATACAGGCAGTACTGCTTGAAAAACTCGCCTACCTCAATTACCCAAGGAGAAATGCCAAATGTTGTGTACAAAAGTAATATTCAGTAATAGTTTCAACTTGTCCGTATCATGCAGAAAACCTTATTTATGGACAAAAATTCTATCTTCTGAATCTTAAATTCTAGGAATAATAAATTTGTAGAAGAGCTTAAGGAATTCCTTAAACTCCCATTTATTTATTTGATGGAGGCAGCCGCATAATGTGCATGATAAAAAAAACGTTCAACCTTTTATTCAAAAGCTATAAATTGTTCCCTTTAGACTGTGATTATACATCACTTCATAATACGGAAGAAGAAATATGTTCAGAAAAGGATAAAAAGAGTAGACTGACTATAAAGAAAAAGAAGGAAGCATAAATGAAAATAAGGTAAAAAATAAAATCAATAAAGCTTCATTTAATATCAATACAGGAGTGAAAGATATCCGATTTATATTGGAAATTGATAGTAAACACTTAATGACTACCACAATACAAAGGAAGAACAAAACTTTATTAAATATCTATTAAATTTCATGTTCAGTATCTTTAATAAAGTAAGCGAGTAGCAGACAAACGTAAGCTACACCAATCGTTTCTCCAACTTACTTATCCTCACTCTAATAACAATACAGAACAATATATACATCTGTAAATGATCGGATGAATGGGAAAGTATGAAAAGAAAAAGTTCTGTGAGCTTAATGGATTATAAATAAGTTGTGGCCATAATAAAATTGTCATTTTCATTCAAACTACTTAATGTTAACTAAACTTGTAAATGTCATGGGATTTCAGATACAAGAGCTTGATATCTATGCTCATTCAACCGTGCTAACATTTGATTTGAACACGCAAAAAGACTTATACAACACACACAATTTAGATAGGATAATTGGTACGAAGACCATAATTAATTAAAATCGATTGGCTATACATAACTTAATAAACTTCTTCATCGTCACCCTCAGAAGTTTTTCCTTCCTTACGTTCTCGACCCTTTCTTTCTTTCCATTCACTAACGATGTGTTTTATTCTGTATTCAGTTTTGTGAAATCATTGCGGTTTTCCCCACATTAGAATTAGTTCCATTTTTTTCATGAATGAAAAAACATTTCCTTTTTATTCTTTCATTGCGAAAAACTAAAGCAACGAACTTCCATAAGCTTAAATCGTATAATAGTAAAGAACATTATGTTAAATAGCAGTCTAGCACGCAATGTCATCGCAATTTAATTGAACAGCTATATCGATTTATATTGTGTGTATTTAGCAAATTTATGCGGTTTTTGTATCTTAATGCTATCAATGAATGAAAATCGACATTGGAAAGTCAAAAATGAGTCTTTACTCGCGGCTCATTCGACATGGAACAGTTTATTTTTTTTTCCTTCCTTCCTTTAAGGTCGATAATTTCGTTCGCCCATTTCCTTGCCAAGGTTTTTTGTTCAATAAAAGTTAATAAATGTATAACTGCTTTACCTATCAGGTGAAGGATTTCTTTTATAGTTCGTGATTAAAAGAAGGCCTTTAAATTTTTTAATGGTGTAAATAACTTTTTTGCAAAACAGATTCTTGCTAATCGAATGTGTTGTTTATAGATTTATATTTGTAGGATGAGCAACAAGACTCGTTGTCTGGGAAATTTTCGTGTCTTCTTTTTCAGATTTGTCATTGAAAATATACACAAAGAAAGTTAATAGACATAAATTTTAAGCACAGGTCATTGCTCAGTTGCTAGAATCCGAAATTCTTCCCAATATTCTTACATACTTTGTTGTATCTCCTTCACACCCATCTCACATATCACATTCTTTTGACTTTTTTTTCCCAAGCACATGTATAGGGTTTGTGGAAAACAGCTGTTTTTGAAAAACAGTCTGTTTTCGGTTTTTGATTTTTAAAAACAGCTGTTTTCCTGTTTTTCTATAATTCAACATAAACTGAGTTATCCTAAGTGTTTCTCTAAGATAATGAAACTTTTTGGTGGTTATAAGCATACATTATAGAGCTAAGCATTATTATTTTTTAATTTTTCGTTAATTAACTCTATAAAATATAATGGAATATAAAAATTAAAAAAAATTTTTTATACTTTTAAGAAACATTGCAAAAGTTCCACAAACTCTAATATTTTATTTGAAATATTCAAAAAAATCTTTCAAAACAAAAAAATATCTTGCAAAATTGTTGATTATATTTTTGAACTTTAGTAAATGCTACAAAAGGTTCAACAAATTTAAAATTTCGATTGCAAAATTAATAATGATTAATCATAAATTTGATAATGATTTCAAACCTATTAAACATCCAAAAAAATTTAAAAAAGTAAATACATTTCAATTTGGAATTCTAGAAAACTATATTAAGTTCTTCAAAAAATTAAGAAATTTTTTTTTTCTTCAAATTATATTTAAAAATGAAAAACAGATCTGTTTTTGAAACCTGTTTTCTGTTAACAGATTTTTTTCGAAAAACAGCTGTTTTTCTGTTTTCTGTTAACAGGTTCCCCAAACCCTACACATGTGTAACTGGAATTGCAATTTCTTTTGTTCATTAAATCTTTATTCCATTTCGGTTGATTCAAAACCAGTAAATTGACATATTGTTTAATGAAGCAAAAACGCTCTTTTGTCATTGGCATTCAAGTAATCTCTTTTGTTTTCTTTTTTATCATGCAATCGTCATCAATACCCGAGCGGCACAAGGTGGAGGGTGGTCTCCATATGGAATCCATATGAAAGCCACCTCCACTATGTGGGAAGTAAATGGAGGGTTATTTTTTCATCCTTCATATTGATTCCATTTGGATTCCATATGAACTCCGCTTTTTCTTAAATCAAATACCGAAAAACTCGTGCTTTTGAATTTTTAAAAGACAGAGGTCAGATCTTACTGTAATGGATTGAAATATTGTCGAAAAGCTTTACTGAATCATATTGCTTCATTTCAAGCTTTAAAAAAGCAAAAAAGGATAATTTTTTGTGGTTTTGTATGAAATTACATACTTCACAAGCGCATGCAGAAATCACTATTATATGGGGTCGTTTAATTTGTATGAAAATTTTTAATAATTTCTTATGTTTCTCACGCGTGTGATCGAAACTTAGAAATTGCTGTGGTTGCGACTTAATTAAATTAAGTTGTAAATTTTTCAATAGTGTTAGTGTACTTTAATTAAGTCCACTAATACAGCTACAAATCTTGATATAAAAATTGCGAAACATAGAAAAACACGTGGAAAATCGTACCAAAAATCCTTTGAAAAATACTTCCATTAAACCTCCGTTTGACTACCACAAATGGATCCTCCATCCTCCATCAAAACCTCTCAAATGACTTCCATTTGGTGTTAATAAATGCACGTCCCACGGAGGATTTTCGGAGCTTTGGCTCCGTCAAAGTTCCATGATAGTAAGGTTTTCGGAAGATTTTCAAATGGAGGGTGGAACATGGAGGCTCCGTATAGCTTCCATATGGAAGGCAAATGGAGCCTTTGTGCCGCTCGGGATAGCATTGTATTTCCAAATAAACATCTGCATGTTGTACCAAAACATTTATAAATTTTAAAGAGGATTAGAACATTACCTTTTCGTGGTGTTGTTGTGTTACTGCTGTTGCTGTTTTTGAGAACTTTACTGACAGTAGCACTTGTTGTTCGGTTGTAGGAAGGATTAGGTGAAGAAGATTGGGATTTAATAAATTTTGTTGCTTGTAAAATCGCATTTACTTGGGCGTCATTTTTTCTAGGTGTTTTGTTGTTCGATGGATGATGGGAGGGAGATTCGGACTGAAAATAAATTAAACAATTAAGTAAAAAGTCTATTTTAAGCTTCTCGAGATGTTCCATAAATGTCTAAAATTAGCAATAGAATTTTATTGCTATTCTCACTCTTATATAAATTCAATAAATATGTACTCAATTCATTTCTATTAATAAATCACAATGAAGGGGATAACACGTTGATGTAATTAATGGGAGCAATAAAGTATCATAAATATAGCAAATTTCTTTGTCGTATTTTATATTCATAGAACACTTTACTATATAGATTTATGCTTTTGTTTTATGAATATTGATGATACATCATATTTATAGGGCATCTAAATGCTCAATAACTGGAAGAAAACGTTTACTATAGCTTGCCAAATGTTCAGTTTTTTGTTGAGTCAGCAAAATTGATGTCTTTAAGGACCAATGAGTGTAATTAAAGTCTTTATAATGTAATATCTGATGCTTAGCCACTGAATAATCTTCTTAGCACATCGCAGACTTCGAAAGAACACCTCAAAATAATTAATGGACGCCCTACATATTGATCAATATAATGCGATGAACATACATAAAAAGATCTTGATGTACATAATTCGGTTACATGAAATGTATAAATTAATTATAACTTGTGGAGAAAAAAGAAATCTTGAGCATGAGTTATTTGAAACATATTTTGGGGAGGAAATATATGAATTATAAATATTTATTAAAGCATATGAAGGAATTCCACATTCAAAGCATTCATCGTTCATGGCTTGTGAACCGGATCTCCTTTATGAAAGAAAATTGCACACAAAAAAGTTTGCTTAATGGTAAATGATGGAAATATGCTTATAAAAAAAAGCTTTTCTACTTTTTACGTTGTAGTTATGCTGAACATATGAGGTAATGTTAAAAAGGCAAAAAAAATATGGTAAGGGATTATTACTTTGAACTTACGGTTCAGCACTTGTTACTACAAGTTCTATTTTTTCTCACTTTTGGTCTATTTAATACTATTAGACTGGATATTCATCGTCCTAAGGCGATTATTCAATACGTTGTTAGAACATTAAAAACATACGAGACTTGAGATTTATACTACAAAAACAGGATATCATGTCCTGTGACACAATGATATGCTTTAAAACAAAAGTATGAGTGATTTACAACAATATGAAAATTCTAATATCTAGGGCCAGAATTGTTCAGTTCTAGACGTCTGATATGACTGGTCAACATTAAAAAGCACTTTTCAAGCAGTCTGAAAACCTTCCTCTTACTCACGCTAAGAATTATTAAGTTTTGAATTCTAATTTCTCTTTTCAGTCAAAGCACTTATTATTTCTGATAGAAGAGATGCATACAGATTGCTAGTGTAGGAACACATTTATATCTAGGTTGAAGATTTAGTCCTTTTTGCATGGCAAAAAGATGAGATCTGTATTCGGGGTCGTTCACTTATGACGTCCGAAATTAACAGTCATTTTTCAAAAAAGAATAATGGATTTCCAGGAATTTCTATTGTTCTTTTCTCGCTGACCCCCCTCCCCCCCCCCCCCCCCTGGACGTCATAAGTGAACGGCCCCTTCCCTAACAAATATATTTGAATATATTGATCACTTCAGACATAAAAACAACTGTAATCACATTTTTATTATGCAACCATGCCTCATTTTCATTAGACCAATGGATACAGCACCTTTCTATACAATAATTATCATAAAAGGAATACATCATTTTACAAAAAAGTTGCAATTTACTCCCATAAAGTTTTTAATATGATTTTTTTAGTGACATTAAATCTAATCAAAAACATAAAAAGGTACTTTTCAGGAAGTTCGAAACATGATAATTTAATGAAAAAAAAAATATCATCGGTATAAAGGCAGTAAATCTTTGCCAAAAAAAAAACTTTATTACGACGTAGAATGGACACTCACTGCTAGAGTATATCCACCTTTGTTGCTTGCTCGAATGACGTATCATGTAATAAAGTGATTTTGGAAATTTACAAATTTCTTTTTTTTTATATTTTTATATGAGCAGGCAGCAACTTTTTCTACGAAAACGTTCATATAAAAAAATATATAATTAAAAAACTTCTGACGAATGATATATGATCTTTTTGCCACAGAATATTCGTGCTAGTACAGAAGAAAAGAAGAATGAAAAAGTTTTTCCGGAATAAATGTTAAACATGCGTATCGTATGTTTTTTATTCAATCATCTTTTATCTACGGAAAATCAGTTTTTGTGTGATTCATACGGTTCCACATTTTATTTGACAAGCTTCGTAACTTTTTCGTTCCTTTATTTCTTGTCACTTTTACCTACTTTTACATTTGTCATCGTTCTTCTCTATATATGACTACTCATGATGAAAATTGTAATACTCTTAAAGTTTTTTCTTCGAAAGAAATAAATTGTTTTAAACGTTAATCTTCAATTATGAATCTACTGTATTTAACTTTTGATTAAATCTTTTAAATTTATAACGGATAAAATATTTTTGAAAACTTAAATGATGCCAAAAAATGATGCAAATAACTCACCTCGCACTAATACTATCATAGGAATGCAAACATATTTTTAATAGTCTAAATTTTAATTAAAATTAAGGTAATTACATCGAAATTGAATAGCAAGTGTTAATATTTAGAAAGTTAAAAGCATAAAATCTTGCAAAAACATGGAAAATTACGAAGTATCAACCTATAAAGCTGAAAAAAATGAACCACGTCAAAAATCTGTTTACACGTCTCCATCGAAGGTAAAATTGATCAGAAAAAATAATTATTTTAAAGTTAAAAACATTACATTTTCTTTCATAATAGAACTCATTCAATCCAAATGCAAAGCCGTTTGAACCAGCTTCGCCCTACAAAGTTTATAGATATCATAACGACGATGATTTGATGACTGTGGGACCTTCACATGTAAGAAAATTTTTTCAATTTTAAAAATTTCTTATATGATCCCATGTATAATAATCTAGGTTCCTGTGAATGCCAGGGTTTTTAAAGAAATTGCAAGTACTCGCCAAATACCAGTTTTACCGGTATTTAAGTCTAATCAATATCCTTTGCCATCAATATCAACAATAAGTGGAGCATCAAGTGGTTCACTTAGTGATGCTATAACTATTACAAGTATCCCTCCACCTTTTGAATATGATCGTAAACGAGATGTTGTTGTATTCAAGCGTGAATTTGGACCTGTTGCTACTAACGAAGGCGTTGAATTGCGTCTTAGGTATGGAGTTCGTGTTTTCATATCTGTTGAAGGAGGAGTGCTTGTTGAAAATGGTGACATTAGCATTTCTGTTTCATCTAATAAATTCTTGTCTTCCTTAAAACATCCAATGGGTCGCATATCTCAAATTGGAGATCGTGCTGATATTGTCGCATATGATGGAATGGATAATAATAACTTTATGTAAGTTTCTTTGCAATTATTGCTAGATTTTGAAAGTTTTAATGCTTTTATTTAAATTCAGTCGATATGCAAAGATTTGGAAGGATTGCATCGCTTTAACAGCTAGAGGTTGTGCATTGACATATTTAGTTGATACAGCTGGCACTCGAACAACTTCTGAGCAAGTGAACCGAGATTGGTCACATGATTACTGCAGAGAGACTTATTTAGATGGAATGAATTTGCGAAATATTTACCAAACAAGCTATGCTGCAAACCATTATCGACACAGAGTTGATGATGAAGGAACAGACATATTTTACATCTTCAATGTTCGCGTAACACAATCTGAAGATGGAATGGTCCGGTAAATTAAATAATATTTATTTCAAATCGATAAGAATAAGAGCAATTTAATAATCGATTTTCCTTTCGTCTCTTCTCCTTCATCCTTTGTTTATTTAGTATTCAATCTGAGCCGTTCTCAATTCGTACAAGCGTTGAAAATCGGAATGTAACATTGAAAACTCCATTGATTCATTGTACCGCATCAATGGGTACCTCACCGCATTTGTTTGTTCGTATGAATGAGCGACGTGTTCATTTTGATGGAACTAACTTTGTTGCTCGTAATATGGGACACTCAAGCAGCTTCGATGGAGCAAATAATTTGCGTATTCATTGATTTTCAACAAAAAAAGGTCGGTGATATTTGTTTGAAAATTATCGATGAAATTTTCTTTTATTTTTTGTCAGAAATGCCTTAATATTGTTTTGATATGCTCCATTAATATTTTTTTTTCGATACTCTTAATTTTGAACCTGGCCATGATTTGAGCATTAATATTTTTTTGTAACAAGAACAATTTCAAATTGAACAATTTACTCGCAACTGTAAACTCTGTTATAACAAATAAATAACTTATTTGACTAGAAATTAAAGGCTTGGTAAATTTTTGAGGATCAAAAAGGGTTAGCTGATATCAAAAAAAGACGTCATTATTTCTGGCATCAAAAAAGTCTTTATTGTGATTGTTAAGAGAATAAATATCACGAACGACATAAAAAGGTAAGATCCTTTTTAATTAAATCTCGAGTACACTTAAAGAGCTGAACAGCAATAAATTAAGTACAAAGTAACATTCTATCGCATATTGTGTCATTTAGGGACATCAATTAATAACGTCTAGGGATTTACCGGACCAAAATTTCAATCCCTTAAGACTGATTTAACATAGAAATATTAAGTCAGCTTTTGATCACTGAGGAATAAACATCGTTGCTATTAATTTAAATCATTATGGAATAACCGATTAAGTTTATTATTAAATAAGCATTGCATTTATAGACCAACACTTAGATTTCGATATTGAAAACACGGTTCGGATCCCGGGGTTGAAATCATTATTAACATCATTTGACTTACTTGATCGAGGGAAGGGTTACTGCCCGTCGGTGTTCGTCCACGAAGGCGGGCAAAAGCGTTTTTTAAGCCCTCCGTTCCGTCTGCCGCTGACCCTCTATCGAACAAAAAACAGACCCCAGGTCCGCAAAAAAAAATTTTGGAGATATTTCTCGTATTGCAGTCCAGTGATGAAAATTTATAGTAATCACTAGCTAAACACTTGAATTGAATAATAATTTGCTAATTTTGCTTTATTCCTCTTTACTTCCTTTTAATTTTCACATGATTTACATCTCTCTATCACCACCATTAATTAATTTTCAATTTTAATTTCTCATTTTTCCAATTTTTATTTTATTCATTTCATTTTCATTTTTGCTCTCACACTCACTAGCTAATAGAATTTACCTTCACCTATTAAGATTAATTGTTCATTAATTTTCTGTATTCTCATGGCTGTAAACTAAATATTATTTTTTTTTCAAATTAACATGGGATAATAATTATGATTAATTAATATCCAACAAACAGTTTACTGATTGCACTATTATGTTAATTGCGCGGATTTAATATATGCTTAACATCAACGCCTTCTTCCAAAACAGCATGTGTGTATGAACATTACTGTTTGGTTGATATTTCAATAGCTAATCTAGTGATTTTGAAATTTGTGAATCCACGACACACTAGTCAATCTTTTTTTAAGGAATGTTGAAGGTCATTTAGGGATAAACAATCATATTCCATGTTCACTAATGTGTCGCGGAACACAATATTCCACCAGATCAAGCATCAGCAACATAAATCATAATCACATCGCACATAAGTAATATTTGTGAATGGGAATTACATCGTTTGTAGAAGGGTGCTGAATACTGCCACATTCACATACTATTTTTTTATATACATACAAGTACTGAAAAGAGTAATTTAATATCAGTGTGATTTCATTCCAATTCATTTCATACATCATCCATGATGATGATGACGACGAGGGAAACTCATAAAAAATATATGTGTATATATGATATTGAATAAAGGTATAAATGTCTGTATTTTTATTGAATATAATATCGCATTCAACAAATATCATCGATAAATAATGAAAGGAATGCTCTAGCTCTGACATAACTTCTCTCATATCGTCTCTCAGTGGAAAAAGGATTACTTGTTATGTATCGAGACAATTTGTCTGACATGCTGTGTAAAATTTCCAAAGGACAGGAGAAGAAAAAAAGCTCATTGACATTAGTTTTGTATCAAATGTCATTTTACATGTTTGTTACTTGATACTAAGGAAGGATGTTTTAATTAACTGTAACTTCACCCCACTTTTTGTCGAAGAGTTTGACGATTTTCGGTCTAAAATTAAACACAAGGCTGACAAGTAAATGACCTTCTCGTAAACGACTAATGGCTTACTTCCTCCTTCTACTCAATGTAAACAGAAAAAAAAAATTCAACAAGAAAGGCTTGATAAATGGAGATGACAAGTGAGATTGTGCACAAATTGTGGTATTATTTGGGTGTAAAAAGCTTCAATAACATAAGTTAGACATGTGCTTTACATGCTTTATAGCTTTTATGATGAGGAAAGCGCTCACATCAACTTTTCAGGATTCTTATTTTTCATACTCAACAATGCACTTGAGCATGTATCAAATATCAATATGTCTTTATATCCCACCTCTCTCGTTTCTATCCATTATAAAATATTCATGATAAAACGTAACAAAGCAATTCCAATGTTTTTGCTGTCATTGAAAAGACTCCTTTGTGCCTTCACGTGAAATCAAATGTTGGAAATTTTTAACGTGAAATGTCAAAGAATATGAAAAAAAATCTTTAAAGCAGTTTCTTATGTCTGTGAGGAATATGAAATACAGGACACACGTATGTGCATTTAAAATAAAAGAATTTATGTCATTTCCATTTCATGATATGTCCGATAATTTTAATAAATTATTAAAAGGCAAATATATCACGAAGATTTTTATTTTATTTTTCCAGAACAAAAGTGGAATAAAAACAGTTCATTGATTTAAGCACGTTGTCGTTCCTGCATTTTATTCATTGTCGTGCTTTAATGCGAAAGCTTTTCATAACAATTGAATGTTTAACTTTCGGATTTATGTGATGCGCAGAAATAGGGATGAAAGTAATTGAATTAAATGACATAACGATGAAAAGATTAAAAGCGCATTGCTTTGTTCTTTTGTAGTAAAGGATGAATGACCTATGGTAATTGACAATACGTTGCAAATGCTCTAAATATTAGATTATTCTTTTGAATACACAAGTGGTTCATAAACTGTGTGCCATGGTCTAAGCAGAGTGCCATATAAAGATGAATCTGCCAGTGCGAAAGTTAAGCCTCTGTGACGCGAGTAGTGAGTAATTAGACAACATACCAAGTATCTGTAGCCCTCTTTTTGAGGACGTGGGTTTAATATTCATAGACCCACAACGCTCACACAGTGTGGCTACTTTCCCAATCATAATTGAATTCAAACATTATTCCTTTTTGAGAAGCAAATTATATCATAAATAGCTCTTAATATTGAACGTATATGTAATAGACCTTAGCTTGAGAACCTTTCGATGCTTTTTGTTCAGTTAATTCCAAAGTTAATAATTATCATCTTAAACAACCAAATGCTCAGGGTCTTACACAGTGGATTATTTTAAAGCATATTACACGTGAATCTATAAAGTTATCAAGAGTGGGTTTCATCCTACAAAACTCTTAATTGCGTCACTGTTTATTTTATAAGTCAACCAGAAAGAATTGGAATACTTCAATTCAAGCACCAGACAACATCCCACATGAAAACATTCAGAATTTCAATCTCTGAATTATTAATTTAAAATGCAAATTGAAAAGTAAACGTCACCGGACATTGAAATTCACAGAAACCAAAAGATACTCCTACCTAATGCGGAAATAATGATAAGATAAATGTAAAATGATGACAACTTCTTCCTGAATTTTAATGAGATTCAGTAAGCTCTAAAGGAATAAAAATTGTTCCTTTCAAAGCAGGTAAACAGACAAAGCGAGGACATTTACACCTGACTCTTAAGAAAAACGAGCAACGCAAAAAAATCAATTTATTTCCTCTATGAACTAAAGCTGAGGTATAATATTTCATCTTTTAATTAAATTCTGTGCTTTGAAATTAATTAATGGAACTTTTCCTTTTTATTTTTTATTAGTTTGGAATTTTCTCCTTACTGTGTTGTTGCTCACTTTGAAGTATGTTACCCGAACTCCCTTTCTTAATTTTTCCATACGAATTATTTTTTATAAAAACTCATTTTAATTTAAAAAAAACCCGAAAGCTCCTCTTTGTCTTGTGACAATTACGCATCCACTCTGTTAATTTCCAAGCTTGGATACGTGCGTATATGTTCAAAATAAAAATTTGTATAAAATGGCTAAAATTAAAATTAATTGGTACGGAATGGGGCAAATCGCAAATGTGGAGAGCTAATAAAAGTCAAATAAAGAGAGATGTGTTCGGATTGATAGAAACCTTTAGATGTACATTTGATTGTCCTAGATTAGCAGATGTGGAAACAATGCGAAACCCTTTTTCATTATTGTAAAAATTTAAACCGTCTATATTTGCTGTTTGAAGCATCTACTTTAACCGTAAATAATTGCTTTTTGCAGTTAACGAATTCTTTTAACAATTTTCTGTTTTTTCTTTGTTCTTGTTTCAAACCTTTTGGGTTCCTTTCCAGAAACACTGCTTTTATTCATTTTCACAGAAACGTCATTCGAATTGTATTTTTATTATTTAACAAAGTTGTTTTAATTATGCATCCTTTTGTGTCTTTTTATGCCTGATGTCATCTCATTTGTTGCTCATAACGACAATTTAATGAAGTAAATGTCCTCATTTGTACACAATAAATTTTATTAAAATTACTGGACACTCGTCACGTGCAATATGTTAAAGTTTAGTCTATAGATTCATTAATTAAGTTTCTCAAGACACAAAATTGCAACTGCCTTTTTCCGAACCAAACTGTTTGAATTGAAACATAAGCAATTATATCAAGTTTTCGATTTATTTACAATTAAAGCTGCAAAACCTAGCTTTAGTTGCTAATCATTACAATAATACCTAAGGTTCATATTGCTTCGTAGTTTGTTCTGTAAGAAGCCTTCAAAAATGCATTCCAATGTCTGAAATTATTAAAATATGATTTAAATAGAAGATATTAATAAGTCTCGAAATTACAATTGCTGCGTCGAGATCAAAACTTTTAGATGCTAAACCGCTGTGTCTAAGACTCAGTTCAGTTCAAAACCATAAGTTGGTACTGATCAAAAATTATCAAAAAATGATCGAAATCGATCAAAATGTAATTCTTGTTCAAAACAACATTTGACTGTAAAGCGAGCCCCTAAAATCGAAATTCCTATTGATTTTCCTTGCTACAAGTTTCTTCTCATTCCCATCATAAATT